GAAAGAGTTACCTCCAAGAGTTGTTGTTGACAGTGGAACGGACTGCCTGGTTCGAGACGCTTCGCGAGTTAACACTTTCTAGAAGACTAGCTGTACCTATGCAAGAGGGAGACGGAGAGATTCGAGACCTTCTACGATCTGTTTGTTTGTTTGTATGTTTGTTGTTTAACGCCGCACTCAGCAATATTCCAGCTATATGACGGAGGTCAGTAAATAATCGAGTCTGGGCCAGACAATCCAGCGATTGACATCATGAACATCAATCCGAGCAACTGGGATACGATGACATGCATCAACCAAGTCAGCGAGCCCGACCACCCGATCCCGTTAGTCGGCTTTTACGACAAGCACAGTCGCCTTTTACGGCAAGCATGGGTTGTTGAAGACCTATTCTACTTGCCCAGTACGGATAGGATACTACATGAACGCGCTTTTCTTCCTGCTTCCAACACTGTTTCGTGGATTCAAGATCGGGGCACGTGCCTCGCTCAATACATTCAACTGGAATAAATACTAGACACTGATAACAGGGCCGAGTATATATTGCTACTGTTATATATTTGACCCATTGTATTGCCTTTTATGAACCTGTGTGTTTCAAATATATTTTGTTGATTGTTTATTGAGCTTGTTATTTACTGATTTTACAATTTAGTGGGTACTGATTTCTTGGTTAATTTTCACTTTTCAACTTGGGAAGCAACACGTAACAGTAGGTGAGATGAAATGGGGTTTAACGTCTCGTCCAAGAGTAATGCACTTATGTAGCGATGTGCATGCACGTGTGTGTGTGGCTGCTTGTACTCGTCCGAATTGATGCCGATTTATAGTGCTAGCCCACTGAGATACCATACCGCAGTTTAACATGAATACCCCACTTAGACGCAGTATACTGACTCCGAGCGGATCGGTGAATGACGCGGCCGGGGATCGAACCCTGGACCGTCCGCTCCCTGCTCTCCGCTCTCCGGGCCACGCTCTACCACTAGACCACGGAGACGGTCTACGGAACAAAAGGTATTGTTCGCATCTAAAGGACGCGGAGATGGCAACATTATTTCACCAAACTGAATAACATTTCTAATTAAAACAAGTACACGTAAACCTATAAATAACATTCAGATGTTGTACAACAAGTTCTCTAAGTTTATAAAATGGTCATAGTGAGTGAGTGAGTTGGGTTTAACGCCGCTTTTAACAGTATTCCAGTTATATCGCGGCAGTGTCAGCTTAATGTGGGTGGAAAGCCCGAAGTGATGCAGGTCTCCGACGTTTACCACTTCGGTGAAACCCACGAGCACGGGTATGGTGCTGACAAACCTAGAAACATAATCGGGGCAAACCGGAATTCGAACCCACAATCAGAGGTTTGTGGCGTGCCCAAGGGACGCAACTCTGCACAGCGAATCGCGGCGCCTTAGACGACTGGGCCAACCGTGCCCCCTCAAATGGCCATAAGGAAAGCTGGAGTCGACATTCGGCTTGCCCTGAAATGGCACGTGTGGTCACGAATGTTATGATATAATGAAGCCGTTAAGCTTTCAAGTGTTACAGCACGAGGTTTAACTTGGTGGTTTAAGCGCCAAGGACTGGGTTCGAGTCTTGGTATGGATATAATTGTGTGAAGCTCTCGGGTGCCCCCCGTACTGAGAGAGCTGGAATATTGCGGCGTAAAACAATGCGCTTACACCATATTGATATAGTACTGGAAGAGAGGGGCGGTCGGGTAGCCTTATGGTTAAAGCGTTCGCTCGTCACGCCAAAAACCCGGGTTCGATTTCCGGCATGGGTACAATGTGTGAATCCCATTTCTGGTGTCCCCTGCCGTGATATTGCTGGAATATTGCTAAAAGCGGCGTAAAACCATATTCACTTACTATAACTGGAAGACTATGAAACATGTTAATGAGTGAGTGAGTTAGCATAGTTTACGTTTTATAGTTTAGCAATATTCCATTACACCAGTAATGGGCTTCATTGAACCTGCAGCGTTAATGACAAAAGCATCCATCTATAAACAGAATCAAATATGAAATAAATCGTCTCTGGACTGACAGCAATTTCAGCGTTGGAACAACAAGGCTGATGATAAAGTTGACATAAAAAAAATGTTGCATGACAAAAAAACAACTTTATTCTGTCATCATGATCAACCTTTGAATGTGTCTCCCTAATCCTGGTTGAGCTGGTGCAGCGTCTTTACCTCGTCATGACTTCCACTCCGTGACATTTATGCAGTATCTTTTTGAAACTAATCTTAGTGTCAAATCCATGAAGTATATACCGTAAACCTTGAAATTAACGCAAGCGTGAATTATCTGCGAAAAATGCGAGTGGCCTTTGCTCGATTTGACTTCGCATTTATGTCTCCAAATGAGTATAAAAAATATGACGGCCTCAATGCACACTTTGGATAGCGGAAATACCAACTTGAATAGAAACACAAACACGAGCAGCATTTGAAACAAGTATGTAGCAATGTCAGTCAAAGAATAGGAATTACACAATAGGCATCCGGTGAGTTATCACTGCTTGGGTCAAAAGTTCTACCCACCCGTTTCAAGCTTGTTGACACCACCGAATACCAATCAGTGAACTGTTGCTGGTTCAATTATTTTATTGCCTTTGAACTTCCTTAATGCCAGTCATACGGGACGTGAAAAATGAAGTTGCACGTGCAGCACGACATCGGTTTATGCAATTCTTGGTCTTGACAAACTTAGAGAATTCAATTTCAAGAACACGGCATAGACAGACAGACAGACAGATTTTTATTTAAGGCTCACCTCATAAATTCCCATTATAAAATACAGCATCTTATTAAAGTTTGAGCTACTCCACATGGAGTTATGAGAGACTCTATATACTATTTACACATATATACAGATATATATTTAAAAAGTATATAAACGACGATATAAAATGTCTTTTCTTTTCTTTAAAATATAATAGCAGGTTTTGGCCGGAACAAAGCAAACATCATGGCTTGACAGTATAAAACATAACTTTTGAATATCAAGTAAAATATCAAAATTTGGACAATGTTAAAACAGATCAAGTAACTGGGATCTCTCAACATTGTATAAAGGACATTTAAGTAAAACATGGCATTCATCTTCTAAAATATTCTGACATGAAAAACAATATCTCTCATTTAAAACTGTGCCATCGTATCGTCCCGTCTCAATCCTTATAGGGGCTGTTCCACTTCTAAAACTAGCAATTGCTCGTCTATAAGAACTATAAAACTCACAATTTGGAAAATACTTAAAATTACAATACATTCTTAATTTGTTTCCTCCTGTACCATTTACACTTTGTGGCTGACACACATCCTCACTCCACTTTGTACGAAATATATCATACATTTAACCCTTGACTGATGCAACTACATATTTGACACAATAATTGGCGATATTAGCAAAAAGGATTTAGGCCAAGATCGGATAGCTTTTTTATTACTCTAAAAAGCCAATACGAGGCATACGAGTGCTGCACGAGTGACACAGCAGTCGTAATTCGGTGTACATAGTTGCGCCCCTTAGACGTGCCAGAATCATATGATCGTGGGTTCGAAATCCGTATTCCGTAAAGTTATTTTGTGAATGTCAGAAACAACTGTGTGTGACGAAAATAATCAAATTGATAAAAGAAGGACATTTTTATCTCAACAGTATGAAAATGGAATAGATTTAGTGAATGATGTTCTTGTATATTCTTGGATGATTCCTATTACAAGAAATTGTAAACAATTATGGACGGTAACAGATGATAAGCTAAAGGAAATTGGCGGTCAACATCTGACCACGCTAGCGTCAGATTCACAAAGTATACGTATTGCCATGGTTTCAGTATAACATTCTATACGGTAAGACATACGCACTTTGAAGATGAACTTGCTTATAGCATCTGTTTGAATAATAGAAGGTATATCTCATATACTTTGTGATTGCACCAAAGTACTCCTTATAATCTAACCTTGAACATTGGCTTCAGCGTATTAATACAAGTATAAATACAACACTATTACTTGCAGGGCCTACATGTACGTATGTATTGGAGTTCATTTAAAGCTACAATGTGCCACTGAGTTTGAACGTTGTATCATTTTTCGTAATACGGTCCACAGACTGATTCCAACTATTGTTTTGCAAAAAAGACACACTTAAATTGTTCGTAATATGATTTTTCGTAATACAGTTCACAGATGCCAACATTTCACAAAGTAGAAATTTAAAAGTATATTAACCTGTAAACATATTCCGCGTTAACGAATCAAAAGTACAACGAGATAGAGTTTACAAATATCGGTCCTCTTGGCAGGAATTATTTTGCACACACCGCTTGCTAACTACTATATTGCTATAAAGGATAAATAACGATGTGCAATTGTATTCAACAATATGAAATACATCTTCCTGAAGCAAGTGATTTGAGGCCCCTCTTCTTCAACCTGTCAGTTTATACTTAAAATATTGGCTATATTTCATACATCTTCCCGAGGCAAGGGAGTTAGCTGACTATAAAAGTCCAGTTTCCCGCCTTGCCGACCTAGGCTGGTATTATGGAGTTATATTGTGGCTGGACTAACGAGTATATGCATAGTCCAATCAAAATCGCGCAACGAACTCAAAATCCGGTTCGTAAACTGTCATGCAGATTTCGGCCGATTGCAGAGTGTTGTCGTTGTCAACAGATATTTTCGAAATCTTTTCATGTTTTTAATCAAGGTGCTCACGTGATTTGATGCACTTTGCGATGTAAGACTCGCTTATCACAATATAGATCTTGATTATCGATCAGATCGTCTTGACTTGGGCGCCGCCATTTTGTTTGAAGCAAATGCAAGTGATATCTGAATTGGAATCTGATTGGTCAACAGGAGAGGCATAGAAAGGACATAACTCGTAATAGCCACAGGTGGAGCTACGATCGAGGCCAGGAATTCCAGCCTAGTTCGGCAAGGAAACTGGACTTTTATAATCATTTAACTCCCTTGCCTCGGGAAGATGTTTGAAATATAGCCAATATTTTCAGTATAAACTGATAGGTTGAAGAAGAGGGGCCTCATTAAACAGCCCATGATTTGTCACTGGTCATCTTTTCGAGACATGAAATAATGTAAAGCAAATACTTTCACAAACAGTCATTTTTGTTAGCTCTTCTGTGTTTAGATGTGTCCTTCTTAAGTATTGCAGTTATAGTATATAGCAAGAAAGCCTTTGATAACAGACACATATCAACTTTCAGATTATCTTGCACAGATCTCAACTGCATCCCCCTGTTCACAGTGTAGCTGTGAGAGACAGCCCAAGTCACAGACCCCACAATATGGTTTGCTCACAGGTCACCACCGTAGAAAAGTCCTGGAACAAATGAAATAACGCCATTGGAAATATACTTTGGTATGTCTTTGTGGTACATTGTTGTAAACGACCACCAGGGAGTGGTGAAGACGGCCACAGAGTAAGAGAATAAGTGGCCAGTGGGTGTAGAGTAAACGGTGAATAAGAATAGAAAAACAGCCAATGAAAACGGCCAATGAATATAGAGAAAACAGTTACTGAGCATAGCGAAAACAGTCACTGGGCATAGAGAAAACAGTCACTGGGCATAGAGAAAACAGTCACTGAGCATAGAGAAAACATTAACTGAGCATAGAGAAAACAGTAACTGGGCATAGAGAAAACAGTAACCGAGCATAGAGAAAACAGTAACTGAGCATAGAGAAAACAGTAACCGGGCATAGAGAAAACAGTAACCGAGCATAGAGAAAACAGTAACTGAGCATAGAGAAAACAGTAACTGGGCATAGAGAAAACAGTAACCGAGCATAGAGAAAACAGTAACTGAGCATAGAGAAAACAGTAACCGGGCATAGAGAAAACAGTCAATGAGAAAAGAGAAAACGGACGTTGAATGTGGGGAAAACAGTCATTGGGCATAGAGAAAACAGTAACTGAGCATAGAGAAAACAGTAACTGAGCATAGAGAAAACAATCACTGAGCATAGAGAAAACAGTAATTGAGTATAGAGAAACCAGTAAGTGAGCATAGAGAAAACAGTAACTGGGCATAGAGAAAACAGTAACTGAGCATAGAGAAAACAGTCACTGAGCATAGAGAAAACAGTAACTGAGCATAGAAAAAACAGTCACTGAGCATAGAGAAAACAGTCACTGAGCATAGAGAAAACAGTAACTGAGCATAGAGAAAACAGTAACCGGGCATAGAGAAAACAGTAACCGGGCATAGAGAAAACAGCCACTGAGCATAGAGAAAACAGTAACCGGGCATAGAGAAAACAGTAACCGGGCATAGAGAAAACAGTCACTGAGGAAAGAGAAAACGGACCTTGAATGTAGGGAAAACAGTCTCTGAGCATCCAGAAAACATTAACTGAGCATAGAGAAAACGGCCAGTGATTGCAGAGAAAGCAGTAACTGAGCATAGAGCAATCGGCCAATGAATATAGAGAACCCGGTCACCGAGCATAGAGCAAAAGTCAAATACAGAGATAACGGCTACTGAAACACAGAAATAAAGATGTTTGTAAAAGATGAAAGAGTAACCTCTATAAAAATGTCAACGTATATCACAACTATAAGCGTATATAATGTACTGTAGGCAGATAAATAGTTACGATATCTGATTATGGTTGGTTGGTTGGTTTGGTGTTTAACGCCGCACTCAGCAATATTCCAGCTATATGACGGCGGTCTGTAGCAATCCAGTGATTTATATCATGAATATAAGCATGCAGTTTATATGAATACACCATGTGGATACTTGTCAGCCTGACAGAAATATTGGTAGCATAATTTATATAATACTTACCTATTCCAAATTGTTACCAGTGATACGCACCTGCAATGCACGCCGTCAAAAAGCAGGCCACGTTGCCTGCAATCATGGCCCTCAGAGCTAAATGCGTCAGGTCCCCGCTCCTAGAAGGAGCCATGGCTCCTAATGCTCCAATCTGGATCCCCATGGAGCCGAGATTGCTAAACCCACACAAGGCATACGTTGCGATAACCTGTGACCGGGGCTGCAAGAATGAAAATGTATATTTTCTTCAAATGTTTGCTGTGAACATACGGTGTTTCACAAAGCATGTAGTCTGAAAAGAGAAAACAGAATACTGTGGCTACTTGAAACAATATATGTGCCATTTAGCATTATTGATGTACGATTTCATTGCAGCGTAATCGTCTTTTTATTGATTGTGAACAGCTGTAATATTGTGACAAATGATGGTTCTCTCATTGCTGCCAGGAGCGGTCGGGTAGCCTAGTGGTTAAAACGTTCGCTCGTCACGCCGAAGACCCGGGTTCGATTCCCGAAATGAGTACAATGTGTGAAGCCCATGTCTGGTGTCCCCAACCGTGATATTGCTGGAATATTGCTAAAAGCGGCGTAAAACTAAATTCACTCACTCATTGCTGCCAACATGACCAAAATTACCAGGGATCAGACCAAAGATTCTGCCAATCGGGATTACAGTCAATAACGAGTGCGACCTCTTGACGTCACACGACCGCCTCCGTGGTCTAATGGTAGAGCGTCCGCCCGAAAAGCGGAAGGTCCGTGGTTCGATTCATACCAAAAGATGTTAAAAGATGGTACTTGCTGTTACCCTCTCTGGCGCTCGGCTGAAGGGGCTAAACCACTGACTGGTCGGTTCAGAATCAGTATACTGTGTCTGAGTGGCGTATTCATGTTAGACTGCGGCACTTGACGTCACACATGCAACACAGCGGCACCCCATGGAGTTCAGTAACACCTGTAGAGACTGTTGTGGAAGGGCTCTCCAATCAAGAGCCAACCAGTGTCCAAGGTGATGCAGATCCGCGGTGGAGGATGGGTCTCTCTGCCACGTCTGACCAGTTGATTCTGGAGATTCCAAAAGCGCAATGACAGGCGAGGATGCAGACCATCCCCTCCGTATAACATTGCTCTGTCTCAAGAAGGAAGTGACTCAAGAACGAAGTGACTCAAGAAGGAAGTGACTCAAGAAGGAAGTGCAAGAAGGAAGTGACTCAAGAAGTAAGTGACCCAAGAAGGAAGTGACTCAAGAAGGAAGTGACTCAAGAAGTAAGTGACTCAAGAAGGAAGTGACTCAAGAAGGAAGTGACTCAAGAAGTGACTCAAGAAGTGACTCAAGAAGGAAGTGACTCAAGAAGTAAGTGACTCAAGAAGGAAGTGCAAGAAGGAAGTGACTCAAGAAGTGGCCCAAGAAGGAAATGACTCAAGAAGGAAGTGACTCAAGAAGGAAGTGACTCAAGAAGTGACTCAAGAAGGAAGTGACTCAAGAAGGAAGTGACTCAAGAAGGAAGTGCAAGAAGGAAGTGACTCAAGAAGTAAGTGACTCAAGAAGGAAGTGACTCAAGAAGGAAGTGACTCAAGAAGGAAGTGACTCAAGAAGTGACTCAAGAAGTAAGTGACAACAGTAGCACGATGGGGCCTTGTATTCTCGTCACTGAAACCCGCTCTGAGGCCTATCTTCGGAGACGGGGTTAATGGTCCGAGAATTTCATGTGGAAGGCATTTTTAACTTTGACGCATTTGATAAACATGACGTACGATGTAATTTCGATTTAGACTTTTACCATAATTCCCGTAGGCAGGTGAACAATTGACGTGCCTTTGCATGTGTTTGTGAGGATTCGCTCACCTTTTCGCCAACATCTGGTATCATCGCTTTTTTGATAATGATTCATAAACACGGGCTCATGGCACAGTGGGAATATAAGAATCGACTCTGCTTTTAGCAGAGATTTCACGTTTCCACGAAACGTGTTTTGTGGATTATATATATCTGTAACGAACGGCATTGAGGTTTACATCGGTCACATAGAGATCTCGAGGAGATCTGTGCCAGAATGAACATCCAACCCACGCCATAACGCTACAGCCACTAAACTGATTCTGTTCCCGGCCATTGACATCTGACGAGTGTCTATCACAGCATCTGTACATCAGGTCTGACCATCGTCACGTTGCAGAGAAAACCGGGACCAACTGCTGAATACACATCACGTGTCCACTGGCAATGATACTGTGCCTGAGCCTCTCTTGCTGCTGAGCATCTTGGAACCAAAACCTTACTTCTTGGCGTCTGGGACGGAGATTCCTTTCTCTGGGGAGGTTCTTCATGGTCTGGCGGCTTACGTTTGTTCCAGTGGCAGGTCTTCGCATTTGCAGTCACTATTCTCTCTCGACATGCCCGATATGGTCGACTCATATAATTCCGAATACTCTTTTGCACAACTGTTTGGTTTAATCATAGGACAGTCGGTAATCATGTATTCTCGTAACTGTCTAATCTAGTCAATCATTGCTCTGTATTAGTGCCCTGAAAACAGTAAAATAAGAAATAATGAGTAAATTAGTGAGTGTGTGAGTGAGTGAGTTGGGTTTAAAGCCGCTTTTAACAGTATTCCAGTCATATCGCGGCATGTCAGCTTAATGTGGGAGGAAAGCCCGATGTGATGCAGGTCTCAGACGTTTACCACTTCGTGGAAACCCACGAGCACGGGTATGGTGCTGACAAACCTAGAAACATAATCGGGGCGAACCGAGATTCGAACCCACAATCATAGGTTTCTGGCGTGCCCAAGGGACGCAACTCTGCACAGCGAATCGCAGCGCCTAAGACGACTGGGCCACCCGTGCCCCTAGTTAAGAGTAAGACGTAATGTTGAGCTTAATATCGTTTTGTTGTTTTTCTCCCTTAAACATAAACACATGGTCAAATACAACGCATAGTGATATGTCTACGTGATGAAGAATTGAAATGAAGTTGTAGCATGTATTTAGTAGGGGCGGTCGGGTAGCCTAGTGGTTAAAGCGTTCGCTCGTCACGCCGAAGACATGGGTTCGATTCCAGACATGGATACAATATGTGAAGCCCATTTCTGGTGTCCCCCGCCGTGATATTGCTGGAATATTGCTAAAAGCGGCGTAAAACCATACTCACTCACTGTATTTAATAGGACATGACGTACGCAGAAGAGGGAGGGGGATGTTGTTAAACGGCGCAATTTTCCAACTAAACTACCGGTCAAAAGAATGTACACACCAGTGTTTGATGGCGGCCAAAACTGAAATAAACAAGAAATGTTTATTCGGTTGTGATGTACCTTATAAGGTCATGTTTTGGACCTAAAGTTTGCCGCGTTTTGGCGACTGTTCTCAGCCTAGGAACGTTTTTATAACTTTTATAATTTTTTGGTCAAAACCAATTTTCGAGTGTGTACTTTCTTTTACCCGGCAGTGTGCAGAGTTGCGTCCCTTGAACACGTCAGAAACCTATCATTGTGGTTCGAATCCCGGTTGGCCCCGATTGTATTTCTCGGTTTGTCAGCACCATACCCGTTCTTCATCCCCTCAGCTGACACGCCGTGATATAACTGTAATACTATTCAAGCAGCGTTAAACTCACTCACTGCCTTTTATTGAGTATGGACCAGACAATCCAGTGACTGACATCAAGAGCATCCTGAAGGTATGATGACTTGCAATCAACCAAGCAACCGAGCCTCTCACAAGAACTGATTCCAAGTCCCGGGGACCTATTCTAATTCGGGCTCCCTTGTACATATGTAGACAGTACCCTGGTTTTTAAATACACGAATAAACGCATTAACTGTTTCAAGTTTGCACTTAAAGCCATCGCTGCTTACCAGCATAATTCCACCAACTAATGTTGTGCCCCAATCCGTCAAGAATATGTCATCATTGGATTTGGTTTCCCACGTGGCGTTGGGCACTGACGCTGTGTAGTTGTCAAATACGTGGCCATTATCTATCAGCTTCCCCATCTCAATGTACGCCACGAACTCATTGGTAAAAGTCTTGAAGCCAATCAGCCTGGCCATGCGGCGACAGTCCACGGGGTCAATACCCATGACAAAACTGATTGGGTAGAACACATAGGAGCAGATCAGCTGTGGACAAAGAATAAAAACATATTTGTATTTTTCATTCCCAACTCCCTGGGGAGTAGACAACCTGTGAGGCGCTAGATAGTTAACATTCATATTACCATCTTATCCTACCGAGTACCCATTCACTTCTTCATAGTCACTTGCGTAAGATGACACCACATGTTTAACAAATGCTTCAGTGTTTAGCAGGACCGAATACCTAGAAATCCTCAGGAGTCAGGCTGGCGAACACGGTCAGCCATCCACCTACTCGCCGCCACCAACGTTGCGCTGTACTCAGAACCACGGACTACGTGTCACCATATTTGTGACGTCTATAAAAGCTTCTAAATGTCACTCAAATATATTAAATGGATATATTTTTACGTTATACTTTTTGGGTCCCCAAAAATTGACAACATTATTAGCAAAGTTCCATTTGGCGTTGATCGAATTGAATTTCATTGCTCGGAAGGGGCGGTCGGGTAGCCTAGTGGTTAAAGCGTTCGCTCGTCATGCCGAAGACCCTGGTTCGATTCCCGACATGGGTATAATATGTGAAGCCCATTTCTGATATCCCCCACCGTGATATTGCTGGAAAATTGATAAAAGCGGCGTAAAACCATACTCACTCACTCATTGCTCGGACTTGCAAACTGGCTAACAGAACACCGGGTCGAATATCATCGTTTGTTCGAAAGGGGTGAGTGAATATGGTTTTACGCCGCTTTTAGCAATATTCCAGCAATAACGCGGCGGGGGACACCAGAAATGGGCTTCACACATTGTACCCATGTCGGGAATCGAACCCGGTGTGACGAGCGAACGCTTTAACGACTTGGCTACCCTTGTTTGAAAGGAATATTTTGACATTCAATCATAGATATTCAACATACTGGGAAGGTGAATCCCTCTATGCCGACCCTATCCCCGAGAAACGTTAACGAAGCGTCGATGAGCTGCAGCAACGCCAGGAACGCCATGACGTTGACGGCGACGTTGGCAACAAGACTTATGGCCTCGGAGGCTCCTTTAGAAGCAGCCTCAATGACGTTATTCTGGGAACTGCAACAAAGTTTGAACAAGAGAGAAACATCATCTTTGTTTAGACTTGCGGACGATGATAAACAGTTGGGAGCGACGGCGTAAACCGGAGGGTTCATGAAAAACGTCAATGTCAAAAAGTAAATGTAAATACAACTAAATTACATCGGCATACTGTCCCTCAAATTTGGTGTGTGTGTGTGTTTGGGGGGGGGGGGGGGGGGGGGGGGGGGGGGAGGGGGATTGGATGGTGGGGTTGGGGTATGGGTGAGGGGGGGGGGGGTGGTTATAAGAGGCAGGATATGTTTTCCGTCACTGCTTTAAAACACATAGTTTCTTCAACGATATGAGGTGCCGGCATCTATAATAATTCAAACACAGATATGATAAAACGACTCTACATGCATGGACAACGGAAAGAGACAGGCATGAGGAACCTACTGACAGAACGATACACCCTGTGCAAAGGTTGAAACTTACGTGATGCCAGTGAAAGAAAATAATATGCGACTTCATTGTGGCACAAGAGTGAGTAGTGAGTGAGTATGGTTGTACGCCGCTTTTGGCAATATTCCAGCAATATCACGGCGGGGGACACCAGACATGGGCTTCACACATTGTACCCATGTCGGGAATCGAACCCGGGTCTTTGGCGTGACGAGCGAACGCTTTAACCACTAGGCTACCCGACTGCCCCTTGTGGCACAAGAAATAAATGGCCTGTGATGAACTTACTCCATCTTCAACTTGTAAACATCTTTCTGATTGACTTTAGACTTCTCCGTCTCGGGGTAGGTCAGTTTGGAGATGGCCAGAGCGGCCGGAGCGGACATCACGGACGCCGCGAGGAGATGGTTGGCCTTCACCTTGGTGAGGAGAGAAGGTGATGTTGTATTGTCGTTGTTAACAATTTATCAAAAGGCGACAGTGGGTAATATTCCTATTATATCATGGCAGTGGGGAGCTGAACTCGGGCCTTCAGTGTGACGAACGAACACGTTAACCACAAGGCTACCCAACCGTGGCCTAGTGGGAGAGCGTCCGCACGGGGATCGGAAGGTCCGTGGTTCGATTTCCCGGTCGTGTCATATCAAAAGACGTTAAAAGATGGAACTTGTTGTTACCCTGTCTGGCGCTCGGCATTAAGGGGCTAAAACAAGGACTGGTCGGCTCGGAGTCAGTATACTGTGTCTCAGTGGGGTATTCATGTAAAACTGCGGCATGGTATCTCAGTGTGCTAGCACTACAAAATAAGCATTAGTCCAGACTAGTACGGGCACACACACACACACACACACACACACACACACACACATACACACACACACACACACACACACACACACACACACACGCACACACACACACACACACACACGTGCATGCACGTCGCTATGTAAGTGCAATAATTTTGGACGCGACGTTAAACCCCATTTCACCTCGCATCACGTTGATTCTCGAATATCAACTCAAACAGCCGTTATTCTGGAGAATCTATAACCATGTTTTAATTATTTGTTCGTGCTTTCGAATCCTAGATGATCTTTGTTTTTTCATTACTTTTTTGTGCTCGTGGGCTTCACCAAAGTGGTTAACGTCTGAGACCTGCATCACTTCAAGCTTTCCTCACTTTCCACATAAAACTGATATAACTGATTAACTGTTGAAATCGACGTTATATCCCAAATAACTCACCATATTCTGCGCTATACATAACCAATACGCCATGAAATTAGCTAATACTCCACAAAAGAAAACAACCGTTTCCATGATCGCAACCGTTCCGAACGTGAAGACGTATGTTGATAAAAGAATTGTGTACGTCACTTGTGTACGTCAACTCACCCCATACGTTACGTACGCGCCCAAGACGCTGCCGGAGACGGTGGCGAACCCCCCGGTCATGACGGCGTGCAACTCAGACTTCGTCATCGTTTTCAAAAAGGGGCGTATCATAAGAGGTGACTCGGTCTGAAATTTGAGTGCTTCAAGTGAAATTTGAGTGCTTCAAGTGAAATTTGAGTGCTTCAAGTGAAATTTGAGTGCTTCAAGTGAGTGAGTGAGTATGGTTTTACGCCGCTATTAGCAATATTCCAGCAATATCGCGGCGGGGGACACCAGAAAATGGGCTTCACATATTGTACCCATGTCGGGAATCGAACCCGGGTCTTTGGCGTGACGAGCGAACGCTTTAACCACTGGGCTACCCGACCGGCCCCACGGTGCTTCCAGACATACTGGGTGAGCCAAACAATGTTTTTTGACAACATCCAGAATGTCAATTAAAAGATATATTTGTTTAGTAAAACCTGATTGCAAATTAATTTTGCCCAACATTTTTAGACAGATTTTCATTCCCAAAAAGCACAGTCTCCCAACCCATGTTAGAAAGTAGTTGATTGGTTGATATTTTAGAGACACGTGCAAAATACTCGAGTCCATGTACTCGTGGAAGGAGTGGGCTGTTGAGCTGTCACCTGTCCAGCGAAGATGTTGCCGGCGGCGTTCAACGACTCCGTTGCCGTCGTGTCCAGACAGAATGACAGGAACTTCCCCAGTACGCGGATGATGGCCTGCATAGCTCCCAGGTAATAGAGCACGGAAATAAGCGAGCTGAAGTACACAATAACTGGCAGTACCTGCGGAAGAAGGGGCATTGACTCATGTTATATACATGTACCTCTTTATGCACCAGGATTCAAAGAATTTTATCGTGAAGAAGTTACCAAAACTGTAATCTGTTTCTACTAAAATTCCTAGTTATAATATGCAAATATATGCAAATATATTATCTAACTGTCAGAAAGATGAATCGAGCATATCTACACGTATTTAACGAACAAGCAAATCTTTCTTTTTATCATATAATGGGTAGGTTTCTCGGCAGGATAAAGCCAACGGATAAAAACAATATCCGTTGGGGTCATATGCGGATAGAGATGCAAATATCAAAGGTCAAGTAGGGACTACTTTTACTGTTTATAAACAAACATGGCGTCGCCCTCGTCATTCGGCGATCGTGTCAGATTTAACCATCGGGAATCTGGATAAACTACAGCGATAATTGCTTTCATTATCAAAAGAACAGTCTAATATACTGAAAATCAGTGCATTGTATAAGTTTTGGCAACTTTGGATATATAAATTTCGACACAATTTTGCGATGGCACGTCGCCTAGCCAAGCGGGATGAGTAGCCATATCTGTGCTTGTAGACCTCTGCGGCTTGAACCTTTCTCCACAAATTAAGTTGGATTCGGCCGAAATATGTTTGAATTGTTACACTGTTTCGTTGTGTCGCTGTGTGTACATCTGACTACACTTCTTAACGTTATGACAGGACAGACCGACTGTCAACAACGTCTGACCGTGGTCGTGACGTCTCATAGACTAGGGTTAGAATAGCTTCCCTTTGACAATATTATGGAGAAACATAATATTCATGTGGGACGCATTTGTGTTTTGATGTAAAAACAGCCAGAGTCAAAATGATACACGGTCTTTCATAAATATAAAAACCATAGATATGATGTTGCTCTATGTCAATATGGGGGCACGGGTGGCCCAGTCGTCTAAGGCGCCGCGATTCGCTGTGCAGAGTTGCGTCCCTTGGGCACGCCAGAAACCTATGATTGTGGGCTCCAATCTCGGTTCGCCCCGATTATGTTTCTAGGTTTGTCAGCACCATACCCGTGCTTGGGGCTTCCCTCCCACATTAAGCTGACACGCCGTGATATAACTGGAATACTGTTAAAAGCGGCGTTAAACCCAACTCACTCACTATGTCAATATATCAGTCATTGTTACTTGTTCCTCTGTTGTATTATCCTATCTTAAATGTCACACTCTACTATAAACAAGAGAGTTCAAACAGATTAAAATAAAGTCTACTCTACACAATATAACAGGAACAAAAAGACTCCGATTAAGTCTACAATTGTATAAACATGTGAAACATGATTGAATCATCCTGTAAAACGTTAATTCTTTGTTTTACGAAGCGTTACCTTGAAGGCAAACACGTGGTCTTCATAGCAATCCCCAAACACGTTTGTAATTTTTGGTTAAATCCAATTTTCAAGTGTATGCTTTCTTATGCCAGGCACTGTATGTTGTGAAACTGCGCTACGTGATGGGAGATTAACCCTACTGGCTGGTGCAGTGGGATATGCCAACGGTTAATTACCTTGAAGGCAAACATGTGTTCTTCATAGTTGTCCCCGAACACAAACTTGGCCCCTGTGTTGGAATAACCAAGAACTTCCGTCATCCTGTTTCCCAGCCATTCAAAGGCGCCGTACCCCCACGTTGTCTTCAGTATGAGACAGGCGAATATGTACTGGATCGCCATCCCCCAAAACACAGGGTGCCAGTTCACCTGAGGAGATGGAAGGTGAGGTTCTGTTATTTCAAGTGATCCAATTACCCCCAATCCTACAACTCCTACATCACCCCCAAACAATACACCCTCCTCCCATAAAACTCACTTCACCCTCACAAACAATACTCCCTCCTCCCATAAAACTTACGTCACCCTCACAAACAATACACCCTCCTCCAATAAAACTCACATCACCCTCACATACAATACACCTTCCTCCCATAAAACTCACTTCACCCTCACCTCCTATTACACCACCCCCATAAAACTCACACCACCGCTATATGGAGAATCTCACCCGAGTGTCTTTTGATATCAAATACATAACCTTGTGTTGATATAGTTGATATCAAAAGACACGAGGGTCAGATTTTATTTATCATCCAACATCATTCTTGCAACTTGTTTCAGCTTGTTGACAGTTATAAGCAGTGTCTTAAGTGTAAAACGTACTGCTAACAGCTTCAGTAGCAGAGCCATTAGTGATGTCATTTGATTGTGGCATCATGGTATCACTAACATTGATGTCACAATGGTCTGCAAAGCATTGGGATGAAATTACATTGCAGCGTATGTAGATATCGTTTGATCTCACACAAGCGATATCTCCTGTGGGAGCCAGTTTTGGATGATAAAACCTATTATCCCCAACCATAAAACTCACATCAACCCTACATACAATTACTTACACACACACATCTATTTACAAGCACACCACACCCAGATACCCACATAAAGGTCATGCACATACACACCCTCATCGTCACACACCCAAGCAAAGTCCACATCCGAATATACACATCCACACCCTCTCATACTCATACTCACACTCAAATACCCCTACCCACTCGCCCACTCGCCCACTCGCCCACACACCCACACGTCAACAGCACCTACACACACACACACACACCACTAGACACCCACACCAAACTCACACCAATCAGCACAGACTCACACACTAACAGCACCCACACACACGCACCATACACTAACACACTCAGACCACATACACACACACCATACACCCCCCACATACACCACACACACATTCACGCTAACAAGCACATTTACACTCGTACACACTCACACAACACTCTCACACACTACTCTCTCACACACATTAACACACACACACACACACACACACTCTCTCTCTCCCTCTCTCTCTCTCTCTCTCTCCCTCTCACACACACACAACACTCACACACACACACACGTTGTTTTCACAAGCGATTTATCTTCTCTTGGGTAATCATTTAATCAGCGATTTGGTTTAAACTTACTATTAATTTAGATGTGTAGGATGTCTTACTGCTGACGGGTAGGATTGAACAGATTAGAGGTACAGTGCAATACCAATGGATGCTAAGTCAACAAACCTACAAGTTACGGATTGAACATCATAAGTGTGTGTCAGTGAATGGCTATCTACCCTGGCGGGGTCCGTGCTGGTGATGTACATGATGAAGATGAAGGATGCGATGCCAATGAGGGACATGAGGTTCCTCGGCTGGGTCCTCCCAATTTCCAGGCCCGTGTACACCCCGATAAATACAGCCGCGGACACGTACAGGAACCTGGAACATACACAGTGAGTGAGGGAATGAAGGAAGGAAGGAGGGACCTGGAACATACACAGTGAGTGAGGGAAGGAAAGAAGGAAGGAGGGACCTGGAACATACACAGTGAGTGAGTGAGAGAAGGAAGGAAGGAAGGAGGGACCTGGAACATACACAGTGAGTGAGTGAGAGAAGGAAGGAAGGAAGGAAGGAGGGACGATGGGAGGGACCTGGAACATACACACTGAGTGAGGGAAGGAAGGAAGGACGGACACGTATAGGAACCTGGAACATACACAGTGAGTGAGTGAGGGATGGAAGGAGGGATGATTGGAGGGACCTGGAACATACACAGTGAGTGAGTGAGTGAGTGAGGGATGGAAGGAGGGACGATTGGAGGGACCTGGAACATACACAGTGAGTGAGTGAGTGAGTGAGGGATGGAAGGAGGGATGATTGGAGGGACCTGGAACATACACAGTGAGTGAGTGCGGGATGGAAGGACGGACGATTGGAGGGACCTGGAACATACACAGTGAGTGAGGGATGGAAGGAGGGACGATTGGAGGGACCTGGAACATACACAGTGAATGGCTATCTACCCGGGCGGGGTCCGTGCTGGTGATGTACATGATGAAGATGAAGGATGCGATGCCAATGCGGGACATGAGGTTCCTCGGCTGGGTCCTCCCAATTTCCAGGCCCGTGTACACCCCGATAAATATAGCCGCGGACACGTACAGGAACCTGGAACATACACAGTGAGTGAGGGAATGAAGGAAGGAAGGAGGGACCTGGAACATACACAGTGAGTGAGGGAAGGAAAGAAGGAAGGAGGGACCTGGAACATACACAGTGAGTGAGTGAGAGAAGGAAGGAAGGAAGGACCTGGAACATACACAGTGAGTGAGTGAGAGAAGGAAGGAAGGAAGGAGGGACCTGGAACATACACAGTGAGTGAGTGAGAGAAGGAAGGAAGGAAGGAGGGAGGGATGATTGAAGGGACCTGGAACATACACAGTGAGTGAGTGAGAGAAGGAAGGAAGGAAGGAGGGACCTGGAACATACACAGTGAGTGAGGGAAGGAAGGAAGGAAGGAGGGACCTGGAACATACACAGTGAGTGAGTGAGAGAAGGAAGGAAGGAAGGAGGGACCTGGAACATACACAGTGAGTGAGGGAAGGAAGGAAGGAAGGGGGACCTGGAACATACACAGTGAGTGAGTGAGAGAAGGAAGGAAGGAAGGAAGGAGGGACCTGGAACATACACAGTGAGTGAGTGAGAGAAGAAAGGAAGGAAGGAGGGACCTGGAACATACACAGTGAGTGAGTGAGAGAAGGAAGGAAGGAAGGAAGGAGGGACCTGGAACATACAAAATGAGTGAGAGAAGGAGGGATGATTGGAGGGACCTGGAACATACACAGTGAGTGAGTGAGGGATGGAAGGAGAGACGAGGGGAGGGACCTGGAACATACACAGTGAGTGAGTGAGGGAAGGAAGGAGGGATGATGGTAGGGACCTGGAACATACACAGTGAGTGAGTGAGGGATGGAAGGAGGGATGATGGGAGGGACCTGGAACATACACAGTGAGTGAGTGAGGGATGGAAGGAGGGATGATTGGAGGGACCTGGAACATACACAGTGAGTGAGTGAGGGATGGAAGGAGAGACGAGGGGAGGGACCTGGAACATACACAGTGAGTGAGTGAGGGATGGAAGGAGGGATGATTGGAGGGACCTGGAACATACACAGTGAGTGAGTGAGGGATGGAAGGAGAGACGAGGGGAGGGACCTGGAACATACACAGTGAGTGAGTGAGGGAAGGAAGGAGGGATGATGGTAGGGACCTGGAACATACACAGTGAGTGAGTGAGGGATGGAAGGAGGGATGATTGGAGGGACCTGGAACATACACAGTGAGTGAGTGAGGGATGGAAGGAGAGACGAGGGGAGGGACCTGGAACATACACAGTGAGTGAGTGAGGGAAGGAAGGAGGGATGATTGGAGGGACCTGGAATATACACAGTGAGTGTGTGAGGGATGGAAGGTGGGATGATTGGAGGGACCTGGAACATACACAGTGAGTGAGTGAGGGATGGAAGGAGGGATGATTGAAGGGACCTGGAACATACACAGTGAGTGAGTGAGGGATGGAAGGAGGGATGATTGGAGGGACCTGGAACATACTCAGTGAGTGAGTGAGGGATGGAAGGAGGGACGGAAAAAGAAAGAACGTGTGTGATCGTTGGGGGGGGGGGGGGGGGAGGAAGGAATGATGGAGAGCAGAAGTGGTGAAGGAGGAGTGGGGATGAGTTTGAGCATGAAGTGTACAAGACTGTGTATTCGGACCAGGGATACATGTAGTCGATTTAGAGAATCTCACCCGATTGCTTTTGATATCTAATATATCAACACGAGTCGATAAAAGTGGGAAAACGAGTGTTGATATATTTGATATCAAAAGACACGAGGGTCAGATTTTATTTATCATCCAACATCATTCTTTCAACTTGTTCAGTTTGTAGACAGTAATAAGCAGTGTCTTAAGTGTAAAATGTACTGCTAACAGCTTTAGTAGCAGAGCCATTAGTGATGTCTTTGATTGTGACGTCATGGTAACCAATGACGTCACAATGGTCTGCAAAGCTATGTGATTCAATTTCATTGATATCGCTTGATCTCACGCATGCGATATCTCCTGTGGGAACCAAATTTGGATGATAAAACTTGATCATCGATCACCAGCAGACAACTGAGTGTTTCGGAGTAGCCAGCCATAATCTGCGGCTATTGTGACCACCCAATACCCATTTCCCCGCTTCATACGACTGGAATATGTGCGTACACTCTAGAAATAGCCTTTTTGATGAACACCGGAAAACACATGCTGCTATGTAGCATCGGTACTCATCTCTCATACACCGGACTGCCCTCCCCCCCCCCCCCCCCCCCCCCCCCCCAATCTTGTGGATAGAGCATCTTCCAGGTGTGGGTCCATCCCCGTTCGTCAAAAGATGTTACCTGTTACTGACGATCGGCATTAAGGGGACAGAACGAGGACTGGTTGGCTCGTAGTCAGTATAATGTTTCTGAGTCGGGGTATCCCCGTTTAACTGCTTCGTGATATCTAGGTGGTCAAGGGGGCACGGGTGGACCGGTCGTCTAAGGCTTCGCGATTCGCTGTGCAGAGTTGCGTCCCTTGGGCACGCCAGAAACTTATGATTGTGGGTTCGAATTATGTTTCTAGGTTTGTCAGCACCATACCCGTACTCGTGGGTTTCACCGAAGTGATAAACGTCTGAGACCTGCATCACTTCGGGCTTTCCTCCCACATTAAGCTGACACGCCACGATATAACTGAAATACTGTTAAAAGCGGCGTTAAACCCAACTGACTCACTCACTCACTAAAGGGTCCACTCAGTGGTGGTGTAAATGGTTTGCTATCTCAATGTGGCAGTCAAATCTGAACTATGTAAGTCGTACTATGGTGAAACATAGGATTATGGTTATGGTGGAGACAGCCCATGCGTTATAAACTGGGCGAATCTAAGATTCGAACCTGTGAATAGCACTTCCTTATGTGAGTAAGGGAGGCAACTCTGCACATTGAATTCCAAGGAATAGCAAATATGAATGTTGTTTGATTAACGGACTATTATATTCGTCGTGTCATTCGAAATCAACGTGACACTAAACCTCCGCAATGAGTTGGTTCGTGTTGTTAACATAATGGACACCATATATATTACTTTCGAGATTCGGGAATATTTCACTGTACGAAGATATGTTTGTATTGACCATCGGAGGTAGACGCTAAATAGTCGGCATCTGTTCTGCCCGTGACATCGCAGACAGCCAACGTAGAAGCTGTTGATGACGTTCACGACGTAGCCTCCCCTAAGCCCCACAGCAGGATGAAAGCCCCGAGCACCGTGACCACCATCAGCCTGTAGGACCCCTCGTCACCAAACCTGGAACAACACAGGGCGATAGTGTGTGAGTGAATGTTGATTTATGCCGCTGGGGTGTGTTTAAAAGAATGCTGAATAATGCCACAATATGGTGACTTTACTGTTATACATCACTGACTCACATGGAATACATCACTGAAATACCTGTAATACATCACTCACTCACCTGTAATACAATCATTGACTCACCTGTAATACATCATTGACTCACCTGGAATACATCACTGACTCACCTGTAATATATCACTGACTCACCTGTAATGCATCGCTGACTCACCTGTAATACATCATTGACTCACCTGTAATACATCATTGACTCACCAGGAATACATCTCTGATTCACCTGTAATACATCACAGACTCACCTGTAATACATCACTGACTCACCTGTAACACATCACTGACTCACCTGTAACACATCACTGACTCACCTGTAATACATCACTGACTCACCTGTAATACAATCACTGACTCACCTGTAATACATCACTGACTCACCTGTAATACAATCACTGACTCACCTGTAATACATCACTGACTCACCTGTAATACAATCACTGACTCACCTGTAATACATCACTGACTCACCTGTAATACATCACTGACTCACCTGTAATACATTACTGACTCACCTGATATACATCACCTGTAATACATCACTGACTCACCTGATATACATCACTGACTCACCTGTAATACATCACTCACTCACCTGTAATACATCACTGACTCACCTGTAATACAATCACTGACTCACCCGTAATACATCACTGACTCACCTGTAATACAATCACTGACTCACCTGTAATACATCACTGACTCACCTGTAATACAATCACTGACTCACCTGTAATACATCACTGACTCACCTGTAATACATCACTGACTCACCTGTAATACATCACTGACTCACCTGATATACATCACCTGTAATACATCACTGACTCACCTGATATACATCACTGACTCACCTGTAATACATCACTCACTCACCTGTAATACATCGCATAGCCGAAGTAGCCGATGTATCCGCCCATGATGAGGAACTTGATCACCATCCACACCGCCTTCTGATGCTTGGTGTAGGCTGACGTCACAGCTGTCTGTACAGTCCCCATCCCCCGGGAACACAGGTTACCCCGGTCTTCCGGCTCCTCGGGGGCAGCTGGTATCTGGGGTCATACAAGAGGATATCATATCATTAGTGTTCATGCCATACTATATTTACGACACTATTGTCTAAATTTTGGAATTTCCCTAGCCAAAGGGAGGGAACTACGGTAATTTAGACCCGAGTGCCGTTAACAAAGTAGGACATGAACACGGATATAATGTGCTATCTATTACCGAAGAAGACCAATTTAATGAAACGAGTGAATAGTTGTGGTATCTGACGAGCGAAAGTGACATAGCCCTGCGCAGTCATACAAAACAAGCCCCTGTTAATGGGCGTATTTTCGGTTTATGAAATCATAAACTAAAAAGAAACTGTTTGAAAACAATAGCTCAAGAGAGAGTCTGTTAGAAGAAGATAAATGTTTAAAGCTTTGGAAACAATAAAAGTGTCTTCAGTGGAAGGGGATTGGTGATGTCATATGATTGTGACGTCATGGTAACGATGACGTCATAATGGTCTGAATATATCCTGGGAGATATCGCTTGATCTCCCCCATGTGATATATATATATCCTATTGAAGCAAGTTTTGAACAATAAATGCTTCAATTCATATTTATGTCAGAGATACATGACATCAAACATTTGAACTCTGTTTATGTAATAATTGCTGTTTTTAGACACGTCTGATGAATTTGAAATAGACAGGTATGCAGGAAGGTTTTGAAATAATGTTTTATTACCTAACGAACTAATGAGAGACAAAATAAGATATTTTTGCATCGTCCGCACACATGGCGATCTTCACTAAAGAAAGTTTTTATGACGTCACATCACAATTGTATCCTACCACCTATGGGTCACAAATATTATAATTCGTGACCAACTCGTGTTATTCCGGAACAATCCGAAAAACAGGGGACGGAAAGGAGCGAGTGGTGACGAATGAAATATCAGTAAGGCGGACATAAAAAGCACATAAAAAGTCATGTCCACATTTATAGGGATAAATTCTACCATGAATCCACACGGTGCTGATGGAGCGAAGCTTTGAAGAAGATTTATAACCCGTTTTGTAGTTTAGAAATATCAAATCATCTGAATGACATATGGAAGGGTTTATAACGGGCTTATACCTTAGGGTTAAACAGTCAATACCAAATCACATAAGACGTTATTTTTATGATCAACAAATTGTGTTCCCTGCCCAGAGTAATGTGTACTTACATTTCCGTTTTTCTCACAGTCCGAGCTGTCATTCTCGAAGGCCGGGTTATCCAAGGCCGACATGTTGTCCAGTGCAACGTTGTTGTCTGGCGTCGTCATCAGATCTACATCCGCCATTCTGCAGAATACAGTAACATTTATATACTTGGAAATCGAAAGATCGAAACCTGTTTGTTGTTTCAAGCCGCACTTAGCAATATTCAAGATATACGACGGCGGTCTGTAAATAAACAAATCTGGACCAGACAATCTTGTGATTGACATCCTGAACGCAATTGGGATACGCTGACATGCATCAAACAAGTCATCGGACCTGACCATCCTATCCCGTTAGTTGCCTTTTGCAAAAGGGATGGGTTGCTGAGCACCAAATCACGGGATTCATTACATCCCGAAACAGTTAAAAAAGCGGTATCGATACACAAGATCATTTGAATTACTAAAACTTGTCAAACTTGAGACAGCCCTTTGAACGTGATGAACACAGAAATGGAAAGGGACGAGTACCGAGCTGTCATCACGTTTTTGTCTTTAGAGACAAGTACTCCCCTAGAAAAGTATGACCGCATGTCACAAGTATATTGGGATACGTGCCCTAGCTTTTCTACTGTTAAACGTTGGGCAGCTATGTTTAAGCCTAGGAGAACAAGCCTGGATGATGACCAAAGGTCTGGACGTCCCTCAACTTCCATCAATGAAGATTCAATCAAGGAGATAGAAAACTTATACTGTCAAATAGACGTATTACCATTGCTGAACTTGAGGAAGACACAGGTCTAAGCCATGGATCCCTTGAAACTGTTCGTGAACATTTACAGATGAAGAAGATATCTGCTCGTTAGGTGCCAAATGTTCTAGATTCAGATCTTAAGAAAAAAAAGAACTGACATTGCCAGAACTGACACTTCAGAGCTAATTGACGAGCTAACGCCAATTTCAAACAGAGATTAGTAACGGGTGATGAAGCATTGTTGTATCACTGTGATCCCGTGTTAAAACGTCAATCCATGGAATGACACCATTCCACTTCTCCGGCACCAAAGAATTTCAAGTCTTCAAGATCTGTGAAGAATGTTATGGCCACTGTATCCTGGGGTGCAAAGGCTGTGATCCGTGTTGATTACTTAGAAAGTCAAAAGACGATTGCCGGTGACTACTATGCTGAATTGCTTCATCGCCTGAGAGATTCTATCAAAGAATAGCGGCAAAGAATGTTGACTCCTGGAGTTCTGCCACTTCATGACAATGCCTCTTCTCACACCTCTCCACTTGCAAAGGCTGCTGTGCGACAACGTGGGTTCAAAGAGCTTCCTCACCCTCCATACTCGCCAGACCTGGCACCAAGTGATTTCCACCTGTTTCCTAAACAGAAAGAACACCTTCGCCGAAAGGGCTATGACGACAACGATGACCACAAAGCTGCAGTAAAGGGTTTTTTCAGGGTGGCTTCAGAAAACGTCTTCCTGACCGGAATTGAAAAGCTTCATTATCGATATGAGAGGTGTATTGAAAAGCAGGAAGATTATGTTGAAAAATAAAACAACAAAAAACACTTTCATAATTATGGTTTTTGTTTATTAGGCGTAGAACCTGTTGATTAACCCTTATATGCATCACCATTTTAAAAACCAAACACCTCATTCTTTTGACGTTTTTGAAACAACTAACTCTGGACATATTGTATCTGCCTGTTTTTGCAACTGAAATCCATTTGAAAACTAACATTGAGAAACTCTGTTTCGGGGTCAGGTGTTGGACACGTTTACTTGTTTACATTACTTACTTGCAACTAACAAGTGATAAATTTTCAGTCCATTGATAACCATAATTTGATCTATAACGTGCCGACATCACTAGGAGGGGGCGAACATGCCGATGTCCAGTTAGTGTCTGCAATGTCACCATTTTACTTATCTTTGTTTATACAGCAAGTCTGTTTTGAGGAATATTGCCCTACCCTGAAGTTCGTTATATCCGTATGTAAAGTGTATCTCAGTTATACCGCGGGCTGTTGTTGTGTAACATAATGGCTCATTTTGAGTGATTAAAAAAAGATCATTTGAAATGTCAATAAACAACAGTGAAGGGGTAACAGTCTTGAAAATAGTGGGGTGGTGTAGGTGGTGGTGTGTGTGTGTGTGTGAGAGAGAGAGAGAGAGAGAGAGAGAGAGTGTGTGTGTGTGTGTGTGTGTGTGTGTGTGTGTGTTGTTAGTGTGTGAGTCTCTCTCTCTCTCTGTGTGTGTGTGTGTGTGTGTGTGTGTGTGTGTGTGTGTGTGTGTGTGTGTGTGTGTGTGTGTGTGTGTGTGTGTGTGTGTGCTGCATGTGTGTGGGTGGTGTTAGTTTGTGAGTCTGTGGTGCTTGTGTGCATGTGGTGTGAGTGTGTGTGATTGCATGTCGCCTTCCGTCCACTAATTATAATGCCATTCACTCTACGTATAGCACGGCTCTAGACGAATTATCTGACTTATATAATGAGTTGTGTGTGCAGGATGACACAATTATCCTAGGTAATCTCAACTCGGATATATGTAAGCGTCTAATGTTACCACGCGACAAACTTCTGTCTCACTTTGTCAGCACTCGTTATTTAGTGAATACTATTCAAGCCATCAGCTCATATGCTTTCAGGAGCAAAGATGACATAAACAAGTCTCTGATTGATTATATCCTGATTCCTACCCATTTGCAGAGTAACGTTACTTCAAGTGAAGTGCTATTCACTAGTTATGACATATCCGATCACTTCCCATGTGTAGCTACCATACAAGTAGATGTAAATGATAATGTAAAGCAAAAGGTTAAAGAAGCATGTTTTGTTAAACGGGACAAAGCTTCCAATATTGAGATCTCTTCGTACAAGGTCTGTTTTGATACACTGCTAAACAATGCAGAGTCTTGTTCATCAATAGATACACGTGATGATATTGAATCATTTAATACGGGGATCAGTAAATGTATGATTGATGCCAGTAGACAGTCTATAGCAGTAGGTAGTTTCAAGGCTCATCTGAAGCCTTACTGGAAACAGGATGGGCTACACCTAGACCATTATAACATGCGAGTTGCAAGGCGGAGATGGTTATCCGTGGATAAACCAAGGGAGGATAATTTCCATTCTTATACATCATACAAGCAAGCTAAGCGAGAATTCCGACGTCGTCACAGACAGTCAAAGCAGGCCTATTCAAAGAAATTTTGTTTGGAATTAGAAAAAAACTTGTGATACTGATGTGAATACGTTTTATAAATCTGTGAGAAAACTACATAAGCAGAAGATCGGAGTTGAAAAACTTACATGATGACCGTAATGTAACAACCCCCACTGACATATGCCAGCTTTGGGGTAGGTACTATGCGGATTTAGCAAAACCATGACTCCGACCAGTTCGATCAAGACTTTAAAGATCATATTGACAATGAAATTGAGAAATAAGCCTCCAGTAATGAATCTAATTCATGTGTTGATAATGAATTATGTGCTGAAATATCGGTTCAGGAAGTGACTAGATATGTACAGACACTGAGGAGGAACAAATCACCTGGCCCTGACAATATTAATAATGAACATGTGATGTTTGGTGATGAGCTGTTAGTAGGGAAGTTAGCACTTTTATTTAATGCTATTCTTAAATTTCAGTACACACCTGCTGCCTATAGACACGGGGTAATTATACCAATTTATAAGGGTAAAAAAGATAAATCAAACCCTGTCAATTACAGAGGTATTACGCTAACATCTTGCCTTAGTAAGCTTTTTGAGAAAGTTCTCCTAGAAAGATTAGAAACGTGGACATCCCGAAATGCCTGTAATTTCCCCGATATGTTGCAGTTTGGCTTTAGGAAGGAGCACGGTGCTGTCTATCGCTATTTACCCTCATCGAATGTGTACAAAGTTATGGTAACAGGGGATCATGTATCTACACAGCATTTCTAGATAACGAGAAAGCTTTTGATCGAATATGACACTCGGGTCTCTTTGTAAAACTCTATCATCTTGCTATTAGAGGTAAAATGTGGTCTCTGTTACATCACTGTTATACTTCCATGTATGCGTGTGTTCAGTATAAGGGCGAACAATCTGATGTTTTTGCTGTTAGACAAGGTATAGGTCAGGGTAGAGTTATCTCAGCTTGGCTTTTTCTTATGTACATAAATGACCTCATAACTGAGCTTCGGCAGTTAGATACAGGAATATGTATATATAATGTTAGTTTACCATGCGTGTTACTTGCTGATGATACTACTCTTATCAGTTACAGCCCTAAAGGTCTGCAAACAGCCTCAGATACAGTTGTTGATTACGCATCCAAATGGCGATTAACTTATAATGCATCGAAAAGTCAAATTGTTGTGTTTCATAAAAAGAAACAATTATTGTATACGCATGCTTATCACTTTGGGGACTATGACATACCTATGTTTGATAATGTAAAATATGCGGGTGTTGTTCTACAAAGTAATCTTTCTTTCAAATTATATATTGAAGAGAGCTGCATTAAAGCAAGGCGTACTATTAATTCTCTCCTCTCTGTTGGTCTAAATAGTAGTGACTTACATCAGCGTGCAAGTATTGAGATATGGAAAAGAATGATTTTAACAACAAGTTTTTATGGATGTGAATTACTACCTCCTCTGCATGGTAAAGATCTTGAATTAGCTGAAAGCCCCCAGCGTTAATTTGCAAGGTTTTGACAAACGTTCCCCCACTGATGCCACTATTGCTAATCTAGGACTTTGGAGCATGGTTGGCTATATAGATAAATGTAGACTACAGCTGCTGGGGCGTCTCCGCAACAACTCATGTGTCTCAATTTATAAAACTGTTTTCTAGGCATCAACTTCACTCTATTTCTTTCATAACAATAATTTACACAGTTTATGTGGAGTGTTGCTTTCAACAGCCAAGAAATATAACATACTTCATCATGTATTTCACTACGTTCGCACAGGGGAATTCCCCGCGAAGACTAAGTGGAAGTGATTGTGTTAAATGAAATATCTACCCACGAGGAAGAAGTATTGAAATATAAACTATCATGTAGAGCTGACCTATCTCGATATTCTAATATTCACACAACACTTACTCCTCATGTGTAATACAGCATTGTAATGTTATA